AGAAAGTTGCTGAAACAAAGAGGTTGGGCAGCAGCATCTTCAAACAAAGTGTGTTATTATTCTTCACAAGGGAAGTTGTCTGTGACCCCTTGTTTTTTTTTTTTTTATTTCATCCTGTTTCAGCAGGTAGTGCTGGCTTGCTCAGGGACCATTTCAGCAGATCATACACATTAGTCAAGATCTAAAATACCTCCCTGCACCATATGCTACCTAAAGTATAATAATCCTTTAATCTGCCCACTGCATGACATCTGGGCAGTTATTTGACTTAATAACTCATGTCAATTGTTCATATCAGTATGTATCAGAGGGGGGAAGTGCCAAAGCAGTGGCGGAGAGATGAGGATTTAGGAAAATGCCTGTGGGGAAGTGCCTTGGATCAGGGGAGAGACCTACCTGTGGTGTGGCAGGTGACCAAACCATCACTGATGTCGCTGTGTAAAATCTTTATAGGAGAATAATATTATTCTGAGATAAGCACAAAACAGGACAGGAGGGGGAAGATGAGCTGCCAGGACCCAAGTTACAGAAGCGCATTAATATTTACTCGATATCTCTTTATACCCTCTAGTCAGCACAACAGATGTAGCTGTGTTTTAAGACATTATAATTCATTGAAAAGGGCAACAAAGATACTCTTTCCCTCCCTCCTGTCCCCGGTAATTTCAGATGTTCGCCATGCACACAGAGGGGGAGGAGGTAGAGAGACAAGCGCTGGTGGGAGAAGAATGCAATTATCCCAAAGCCTCCTGACGGGCATCCACTTCTTCCTTCCAGCTTAGCTGCTCTGACCACAGGCTGGGGGCTCGTGGGACATGGACCAGATTGAAAAAGTGGAAGCAGACAGATGGTTATTTGTAATCATCATGTAAATGTAAATCCTATAAAAATGTTTTCTTTCTAAGGGCCTAAAAGCTGGAAAGAAGGATTAAGGCATGGATATCCAGCCTAGAATAATTTTGACCCCACCACCTTCCCTCCTACCCCATAAACATCGTGCCTTTATCTCCACTTCCTTTAAACAAATTGCTGGAACCTCAGCTGAGGAAATTAATTCAGTTTCCATGTAATTCCCTGAGTTTATGAGCCTCAGTTTGACCGAGGCCTGGATTTGGGCCTGAACTGGCAGGTGCTGTTTAGCAGCTGCCTTGGGAGCTGGGGCTCCTTTTTGCCTCTTTCCCCTCATCCCTCGCTCTGGCAGGTGCGTGCTCCGTGCATTTATCCCCTTGCTGGATGTGCTCCCTTTCCCTGGTGACACTCCTGGCTACCTGGAAATGGCCGTGGGGGGCTTTGCTTGCCTTCAAGGCTGCCGTGACTGCTCGCAGCCATCTCTCTTGTTTGAGCATCATCAGCTTGTTTGGGCCACAAAGAGACCGATCAAACTTTAATTACCTTTTGTCCGCAGCGCCGTTGCAGGCTGTGTGCACCCTTTAGCCGCTCTTTGCAGCTCTCCCATCCCTCAGTGCCTTTCCAGACAGTGGGGCTCGGCCATCTGGAAGCTTTTTGCCCTTGCAAGGCTTTGGCTTTTGAAACGTGAAGGTGTTTGTGCTGCTGTCAGGCTTGGTGGGGGGAGCAGCCCCTGGGGAGCATCTGTGCTGCAGTCCCGGGGCTGGGGGGCCATCTTCCCCTTTGGCACCTCTTGTTTAGTCATAAAATAGGAGAAAAGTTTGGCCTGGAAGGGTCTTAAAGACCGCCCAGTACCCCATGGGCAGGGACACCTTTCCTAGAACAAGTTGCTCAGAGATCCACCCAGGCTGGCCTTGAACATTTTCAGGGATGGAGCATCCAGAATTTCTTTGGGCCTCACCACCCTCACAGTAAAGAATGTGAGGTAAGACCCAAAAATAGAGAGAAGCACCCATGCAAGCACCAAAATTGGAATAAAGCAAAGCAAGAACATCCCAAAAAGAATGAGGAAGAGGAGCCTAGTGGCAACATGATGCTGATTGTGTTGAATTTTCAAAACACTAGTGTTTGTGCCCTGCAAAAAGGGCCCTGATGTTGGCCGGCTTCTCAGGTGAACAAAAGCCTTTTGCCTGTGTAGGGAGAGGGTCTGCTGAAGCACACTAATAATTATTTGGAAGGACCCAGCAATTGTGGATAATTGGCTGAGGAATATTCTGCAGTTCTCAATCATTTTTCTGTTTTCACAGATGGTTGTACCATTAGGTGTTGTGAGTGCACCAAGATGTGCTGCAACTTTTCCATTTACAGTGCTAGTACGTGTGAACTCAGATTCCAGCTGATGGTTCTTCCTGCTGTGGCTTCCTGTGCCTCTCCAGGAGGACAGCCAAGCTCACCAGCTCGTGCTCTGCCCTCCTCTTCCCTGCTCCCTCTCTCTTGGGGTGATATTTAGATGTTCTGGGGTGATTGGGCTGATCAGATTAACGTCTGTGCTTTATTTCATTGTTGTTAGATTGCATTAAATTACTGAATCACAGGAATGGCTGCCTGTGCTCTTTGCTCTTTACCTGGTTTTTCTCTCTGCTTTTATTCCTTTTTTTTTTTCCCTAGTCTTCCCTCTCTTCCTCTCAGAGTTATTTTCTCACTTCAATTTATATTTCATGCACTTTTCTCTTATCTTTGCTTTTCTGTCACTGCTTTATTTTTTCCCCTCTTTCTTTTTTCTTCAACTTTTTTTTTTTTTTTCCCCTCCAAAACACAGAATGCTTTAGATGGAAAGTGTGAGATATACCTATTCAAGATTCAGGTATGTGCTGACGTACAGAGCAAGATTAAGCAAAGCCTGTAGCATCAATTTTGTCTTCTATTCAAGCCAGTTTTGCAGTGCAGCTTTGGGTAAAGGAATGTGATAAAATCAAATCACCTCTTAGCCTCATATTCTGAGGCTGATTGGAGCCTTACACAGTTGCTGGGATGATTCAGAGAAAGTTAATGTAATTTGCTGTGTATCACTGCAAGAAACTGTGTTTGTCAGGTTCATACAGCAGTGTGAAATGTTCAAGGAAAATGCTTTCCTTAATATTGCTGCCAGGAGTTAAGAATCAGGAATATAAAGCCATTATGTGGTTGGATCTGCTGATTTTTCTGGGATTTTCCACTAAGGGATTTGCACTGAAGTTCTGTAATTACATGTAGAACCAAGCCAATAAAAATAGTATTTATTTTGTGTGTAATAATAGTAGCAGAAATTAGTTTTTATCTATTTACCATTTATACAAATGTGGACATAGCATTGTCTAGAAGTACTTTTTCTTCCTGTGTATCATGGGGATCACAGAAACATATGAAGCTGCTTTCCTAAAAAACATGATTTTTAAAAGACTTTTTTCCGGTTCTTTCCCTGACATTCCCTTGATATTGACTTTCTTGGCTTTCCAAAGTGTTGTACTGCCAATAGTCAGCAGCCCATGATCTTCATCTTCATTCTACTAATTCTGTGCTCTGTATTGCATAAGTTACTTCTTCCACTTGATATTGAAGTTGTATAAATTCCATTTCTGCCAATTTGATTATTGTGAATCAGAAGGTTTGTATTTTTCAGAAATATTTGGGGATTGATGTTTTTGTTGTCTGTTGGGTGTGTCACCTTAGAAGACTGCGGGTTCTTGCCAGAGCTGCATTTGTTGCCAGCTGCCTCCTGTCACTTTTATTTTATGCTTCAAGAGCAAGACCTAAATAGTCACTCTTTTTGTGTGTGTGTGTTAGAAAAGGAATTAACTTCCAATTAATTCCCTCCTCCCTCTGGGATCTACCTGTGTATCCCAAAATGGAGAACAATAAAAGTTACCTCTGTGTCATTTCGAGTGCCAGATACATACAGCCCACTCACCTCAGACTATTCAGAGACCAATTCTTGTATGTATTAATCATATTTTTCTCCTGGCTTATTACAGAAGAGAAAAATATTCAGTTCCAAATGTTAAAATGGGGCACGTTTTATTAACATTGAAAGCAGTAAATTATCTCTGCTTATGAAATGAGACTGAGCAATTTCTGCTGAACTCTTCCTGACTTGCCCCTTCACTAGGATACAATGTTTTCTAATTTCTCAGAGGGCCCTGGTTCCATTAAGGGTGAGAACTGTTTTAAAGGTGCAATGAAAGCCATGCTTAGCTGAAATTCAAGGAGGGGCAATGCCCTAAATTCTATTTCACTGGCTCATCTAGAGCTATTTTCAGTTTTATGTTTATAAGAATGTCAATTAACCTAGAGACTAGGACACACATGGAAGAATAAGGATGAAGTGGATATCATTCTAACACACTGAAGCCAGCTAGTTGGACCTAATCCTTTACAGAAGCTTGATTTACATAAGAAGCCAGTCTGTGTAGCCTAATTTAGTTCTCAAACAGCTTGGTGATTTAAATGCTCTTTCTTTTCTATGTAGTAGGATAGGGCTGGTCAAGGTGGCAGAAATGTTAGAACTAAAAATATAGAAGGAAGAAATAAATACGCTGGAAGTACATTACTATCAGTTTTATTTCTGTGACACCTTTCAGAAATGGTGACCATTTTAGCATGCATGTTCCAGAAATATGATAGTAACAGTAATAATGGCAATGCCCTTGGCCAAGGTGTAACTCTGCAGCTCAGTATTACTTCTGTCCCTTTGTTACCTTGTGCTGGAATTGGAGACCCAGACAAGGCAGATATTCAGCAGGTTGTTTTCTGTCATGAAAAGAACTCAACATCCAAGCTGCTTTTGTAATGATGGAAAGTGATCCTGTCAAAGTTAAGAGGAGTAATGGGTGCTACATATCTTTGTAACTTAAAAACAGAGAAGTGTTCTTATCTGGAAAGGAAAAAAAAAAAGGGAGAACAAAAGCTCTGTATGTGAAGTCTGACTCCAATTGGACAAAAGGGCATATCTGCCCAGCTTCATTTTTGAAGTCAATATAAGAAGCAAAGTCACCCACTAATAATGGTTGAGATTTTTTTTTGTTTGATAGTATGCATTTCTACATTATTTTTGCTCCACTTACAATGCCATCACTTCTGTTAATTTTTTTCCCCCTTTCCTTCCTTTGTTGCTCCAGTGCTGCGGGATGACTTCCGGCAGAACCCTACGGACGTGGTGGTGGCAGCGGGAGAGCCTGCGATCCTGGAGTGCCAGCCGCCCCGGGGGCACCCCGAGCCCACCATCTACTGGAAGAAGGATAAAGTCCGCATTGACGACCGGGAGGAGCGCATCAGTGTGAGTGCAGCCCAGGTGGCTCCTCATCTGTGGGCTCAGGGCTCAGAGCTGGGTGCAGCAGAACTTACACAGCTTTAGGGCCTTGCCTGTAGAAATTGGTCGCTGTTCTTGGCAGTTTGCCTCTCTGAGCTTTCCCAAACGAGGGGGGCAGGCTGTTTGTTGCTCCTAGTCTGGCTCTCCAGCTTGAGCTTCTTTGAGGGTTGGTTTGTAAGTCCAGTGTGATGGAGGTCTGTCAGAACTGGAGATTCAGTCATAGAAGGTGCTCAATTAGATGAAGGATGCAGTGGATGTCTTTGGTTTTACCTTTTCTACATCTCAGCTCTCCAAACAGACTATCAGAGAGGTGTTTATAAGTAAATTCAGTCAAATCTATGAGGTGGACAAATAATCGCTGGGAGAAAACCCAACATCTTAGAATGATACCAGTGATTTTATAGTTATTGCAGTAATCTGGATGTGTCTAATGTAAATCTAAATGTAGGCTGAAGTCATACTCTAAAGAATTACGGTTCCTGAAATGGAATAAATGTAGAGCAAATGAGTGACACTGGTTGACTTCTGTGGCTGTTCATTTCTTGTACTGAATGAAAAAGGATCCAGCAGAAATATTGAACTTATCAAGTGATTAGAGATAAATCATGGCCCATGCAAGCAAATTGGATAAATTAAGGGGTTGAGAACATGTTTCATTCCTAATTTTTAAATGCTTAGCTTTTCACCATTAATATTTCTTCAATAAAGTTTTATGTTGAATGGAATGATTCAGTGCTGACCTTATTCAACATGGAAGTACCATCAGGAAGCTTTTTAGTGGCTCTGGATCCCTAAGGAATTACTCCAAGCCAAAGAATCTGAGCTGTTGCTGTTTGTGAACCAGGCTCTCTGTGCTAGGGTCTACTCAAGAGTAGAAGAGCAAGGAGTGGCAGAGAACTGGCTATCATTCCCTGACTCTCAAGTTTCTTTAGTTAAATCCCCAGCTTATTTTGAAGCACCCCATTGTCTAACCTTTGACACTGTGACTTCACAAGCCACAAATTTTTGCTTTATTTCTTTCATCTATCCTTCTCTTTCTCTCTATAACCCTCTATATATAAGCACCCTCTATAACCAAGAAAATATTAACTCTCAGGTGAATGCCCAGTTTGGGCTAGATTCAGTCTGTTTGCCTTAAAAAAAGAGAATATCTGTCTTCATTAGTGATCAAGGAAACTGTTCAGACACCAGTAAAATAAAATCATCTGAATAAAACTAAGTCAGATTGCCTTGTTTTTTCAGAGAGATGTCAAGAATGCTTTAGATGTTACCATGCAAGAAATAAAAGTACTCTGTGCTGCCAAGAGACAGCAAGAAATGTAATCTTTGAAATGTAAAGAATCTAATGAAAGCCAAAGGAACAAGATCAAATGCAGTTGAAATTAGTTGCAAATTGAAATTAGTCAGTGGGATAAAAATAGAACAGCTTAAAGATATTTAAATATATAAGTATATAATTTTAAAACTGTACATATATTTACAAACAAAAGTTTAGAGTGTCTTGGTTGTAGAACTTGTCACCCGAGAAAGTAGCACTTTTTCTGAGGTATTTTGTTTACCTGAAGCTACCTGTGTTTTGTTTAACCTGAAGTTCTGTTCCTTGTTTTGAAACAGATCCGTGGTGGGAAGCTGATGATCTCCAACACCAGAAAAAGTGATGCAGGGATGTACACGTGTGTGGGGACCAACATGGTGGGGGAGCGCGACAGTGACCCTGCAGAGCTGACTGTCTTTGGTAAGGACACCCCTGCTTTTATTGCTTTTTCCCTATAATTGTCAGAGGCTGAATCACCCTGGGTGGCTCCTCAAAACATGAGACAAAGCAAGGTTAACAAAACCACAGCAGTACTGCTCAAGATGCATTTCACAGCTCCAGAAGGACACCAGGTTTTACAAGCTGCTGTTTGTAATGATGGAGCTGTGGTGGCTCAACATTTTCCTTCTGAGCACATAGTTTCAGTCTGATTGGAGGTCTACAGTGATGTGCATGACCAGAGATGTTATTGCAGGACAATGCTCTCCCTCACAGAATGGCTAAATGTAATTAAGCTACGTCTAATACAGTTGACAATGCCTGCTTACCAGAGATTTAGACCAGGATTGCCTATTTAAATAATTCCCTATTCCTGAGGGGTTGTGAAATCAAACCTTTGTAGGAAAGCACAAAAAACCTCACTTGATCAGTAAAACATCATTAGAGACAATTCCAAAATCAAATTTTTGAATATATAGCAGTAACTTTTAGCATTCATATTTAAGACGACCTGAAACAGCTTTTTCTCCTGTAAGCCAGGACAGCATTTAGATTTTTGGTGCTGCTGAATGAATTAAAAATGAACAAGCTTCCTGTGTGAAAGAGCTTCTAGACCTGATGGGGAAGGAAAAAAGTGGGCTGTTAGGAGCACTTGCCCCATGGTTAGGGTCCAGAGCAAGAAAAGAGTAATAAACCAACTTTGAGCTGGATCCATCCTGCTAACAACTGGATAAGAAGCAAAGCCACAAAATCATGCTGAGGTACATCCTACAGTTGTGGTTTTGTAGGAATTAGTCAAGAGGTTCTAAGCAAATACAGGAAGGTCAATAAGGAAAAAACTCTTGCTGCTTAGGAAAACATATCTATGCTGACAAAAGAGAGAGAAATAATGTTAATGTTCCATCCTGCTGCACCTCTTTGATACAGTGCTGGAATTCCAAACAAGACCTTTTGTAACCCCAGAGAGATGTTTAATAGAAATCCTGAGGTCCTTTGTGAAGCAGATGCTCCAGAGTTTTTCACCTTCTGCCTAATATGGTGCACTGGAAAACCCAGCCGCACACATTGCCATCCCAGTTTTTGCATGTATGTGCAATTCAGCATTTGTTTATCCACTTGAAAAGAATATATATATATAATGTGATTCACAGAGAAAGGCAGAGAAAGATTTTTCTAGACAAGAGTCACAAATTTCTGAGGATATGCTGCTTTCCAGCTTTTCTGAAGTGAAAAGGTTTCCACCCCAACTGGTTTGTTGTGGATTCATGGAAACATGTGGCTTTTAAAGGCAGAACTATTATACCTTGCCAAAAAAAAACCCAAAACCCCACAGAGAAAGGATCCCTGTCAAATTATTCTGCCCTTTGCAGCCAATCTGTTAGAATTGTAGCTTTATACAGATGCAAAAGAGACATGACATATCTCCTTCATCAGTTTAAGTACTGCTAATCTCTGGTAATACTCCCTGTGGATAGCAAGCAGATTGCAGTCCTAAACTACAAAGCCTTAAGAAATCCTTAAGAAAATAATTTGTTAAAAAGCATTGAACTGTAGGAATGAAAACTGAAATGTGCATGTAATTTCATATCCTGCAGAGCTATGAAACATATTAGGTTCGTCATGATATGTAAAATAATACATAACCAATTACAATATTCTGATTTTTTTACAGGGTATAATCATAGCAATCAACTTGCAAAAATACAATCTAAAACTATTTGGTGAATACCAAACAAAATCAGCAATAAATGAAATTAGATATTTTAATCCTTTTTAATTGCGTTAGACTACCTGAAGAAAATTGTATTTAAAATTCCCTACTGCAGTATCTTCCTATCTGCATTTTTCCTTCTGTCTGGGTGTTCCCCAGATACCTCCCCACCCTCCATTCTGCTGTGCAAGAATAGCATGCAGGAAGCAGGTGCTCAGGTGATGACCTGCTGTCTCACAAGGTGGTTTGGCTGCCCCATGCTCATTTCCTGGCCACCTCCTGGCCCTGAAGCTCTGTGCTGCTGCACTGGGCTCGCTGTAACATCGTCTCCAGGCTAGTCCTGATCTCTCCATACCAAAGGAGGGGACTTGTCCAGCAGTTATGTTCCACTCCTGAACTCCAGGCAGCAGCCCATGTGTGAGCAGGGATGTGCACAGGGACTGGAGAGCATTATCCATGATGTTTCCAGGAAGCAATGTGTCTACTGGACAGTCCAATAGCTCTAACCACTCACAATAAGTCAAATGAATCCAATGACTCTGGCAAACGTCAGATTGGCTCTCTGTGTTCAAATTGGCTTCACTGAACACAGGCAAAACCACCAGGATTGTATGTTAGGTCCACAGCCTTCCTCTAATATGACTCACAGGTCTGAGGAACATGGGAATATTGCAAATGTTGATGAAAAATATACTATAAATACTTATATGCAGTTCATGTGCCAAACTTTAACTGCTTTGAACATATTTGAAAATGGACTTCACAATAAAAATAAGGAGATCTTGACCGAGTGAGTTGGAGAATTTTAATAGGGGACTGGGAAGCCTATGGCTGGTGCTGATTCTGGAAAGGAATGTATGTTAATTAGCTGATCAGTCTTCATTCCTTTCACAACTAACAACCCTCCAAACCCCTTCCACAGTGTGAAGGGAGCCTTAGTAAACATATTATGTAGGAAAAGGAACTGTTCATACTAGCTCTCAAACCTTTCCAGAAACCATCTACTTGTTACTTTTGGCTTTGCAAGTTTTTCTGTAATACCTGGAGTTAACTTCTACATGTGACTTGTGACAGATCTCTGGCTCCCTGTACAGTAAATTTAGCTTGAGGCATTGCCTCTGGAAAAACTGAGTCAGTGTGGTGGGAACTGGTGGCCCAATTGGAACAGCATGGAAGCCTAGCCTGAAAGATTACACTTTTCCTGAGTTTAAAAACAGTAAAATAAAATGGGTCAGAAGAACCTTGGGAAGCAGTAGGGGGAGAAAATAAAATTTTCCCATGTGCAGAATATGTCCACTTGGCTAGGTACCCATTCAATAACCTTTACTGACAGATAGTTATGAATAATATATGTAGAACTTTCACTTTTTTCCCCCAAGTTTATCTGCATAGGAAACATTGTTGTCAACATTCAGGCACTCTTAACAGTAAACTGGTAGTGTCAATGCAGATTGCATTAGTTTTGTTCCCAAGTCATGGTTCTTCTATTAGCAGAAAATTGGCAAGTTTTCGTAGTAAAATACCATAAAGATCATATAAGCAGTGCTATCCAAAACTGTGTTTTGAATAGTGACCAAGATGCACTACATTTTGTTAGTCTTCTTTCTCAAGCATTACTGCTAGTTTTTGCCTTGATGAGGCTCCAATGTGTAATCTTGGAGCAAGGCAGAAAGACAGGGTCTGTCAGAGTCTTAAGTTGCACTTTAAAGGAAGTTAATAACCTCAGTCCTAATGCTCACAAAAAGAGGCAGCATGGGACTTGATTATTGTGTGCACACTATTCTAAAGGCCAATTTCCGAAGTGTAAGTGATACAAATTAGGTTGCATTGCTTGTGTTTGGGCTCACAGCCCTTGGCTGAACAGAATTAAAGCAAGATGCAAAACAGAAACAGTTTAATTCCAATTTGTATGAAAGCTTTGTTTGTAAATACATAATATGGAGCCAGAAATTAAATAAAGAAGGAATTACTCTTTATGATAACCTTTATCATTTTGTCATGCTACTTCACCATTCTGAGGTAAGTTTTCAAGTTAACTATTTCATGTTTTTTTTATTTCCCTTTGCACTTAAAATGGCAATGTTTGAAGAGAAGGTACAAAGGTATATCTTGTATATTGATTCTAAAGCTCAGTGAAATCAATGAAAACCTTAGTCTATCAACTTCAAGAGGCTGGCATCAAGCAGTGGAAAAAGATATATTTAGAAGAGCCTCAAAAGAATATAAAGCATAAGTAAGAAGAGTAAAAAATATCTTTAAAAGATGTGCCAATTTGGACATATTAAAGATTGTTTTGGATTAATCTTTGATTTTATCTTTGGTATCTGAACCTTTTTTCAGCTAATAAGGTCCTGTGGGATGAAGAGGTATTCTTGTCTGATGCTTGAGGAAGTATTTGTGTTTGATGTTTTGTAGATATTGTCAGACTGAAAGAGAAACCCTAGTTTCAGAAAAAGAATGACTATGATAACATGGTGTTAGAAGAAAAAAATCCCCAAAATCCCTTTAATGAAGACACTGTGCCCCATTTTACTTTCTTGAGCTCTGCCTGTGTGGAAGGCTTTAGCAGAGTCTTGACCCATTGTATCCTGGAAAGCTTTCCCAGTCACGTGGAAAAGTCTTCCAAAACCAGGTGTACATTCATAGGTCAAGACAGAGAAATCAGCAGTGTGTATTTTGTCCTTCAGATCAAATCTCCTCCTGGTTTTCTTCAAATTCCTGTACTTGCTACTTGCTGTCTACCTGTGGCAGTTTGCAAAAAGCCATTTTAGCTTTAGATTATTTGCTATCCACAGATACCAAGAAGTTGTTATAGATTAACAATACAGCTCTGAAAAAAGTGTCTGATTTGGTCTCCAAAGTCTATATGCAACAGTCAGTAAAAACTGTAATTAACATGATTTTAGATGTATATAAAAGGAGGAAACCACTAGCAACTGATAACCTTCATTTTACTGCATTTGCCTCTGATTGGTGTTCCATTCCTTTACTGTGCACGCTCATCATGCCTTGGGTGGTGCTTAGAGTGTAGGAGTTTGTGATGTCTACACAATTGCCTATTTCTCAAATGGAAAAGGGAATAATGTAGAATAATGCCTATCAATATAAAACCACTTTCTTTTTCAATTCTCTTTTCATTTATTTGGCCAAAATAGGTAAATTTAGTGAGGTTGTAATATCCTATCTTCTTCCACTTGTTCTTTTTTTGGCAAAGAGCTTTACTTCATCCAGATCACATTGCATTTAATGAAATATCTATGCTATTGACAGCATTCTGAAGTGAAACTTAGTTCCAACCATCTAATGTTTCCTTTTTTTCCCCTTTTGAATCAGAATGCTAAAGTGCAAAAAGCTTTTAAATGTAACTATTTGCTATTAAATCCCTCCCCAAAGCCTTTTAATTTGTGTTTTAATGTTCTTTTTAGAACACAAAAACATTTAAAACAAATGTTGCCTTCTATCCAGCACAGACAGAGAAAACAAAAGCAATTCTAAATCAGATTGAGGCTCTACATTATGAAGACCATCAAATCCTTCACTCTAGCAGTTGCCTCAGCAGAGAAAATATATTAAGGTAGTTAGGATCATTTTAATTAGATTGAGGCCCCATATATGGCTGTCTAACTTTTTGAGGAATGGGAAAAGGGCAATAATACATCTGAAGGTCATCTGAGTCTCTCTAATAGACTGTGATACTCAGACCAATTGTTAAATATGGGAAAAATTGAGTTCTGAGGTTAACTTGTGTCAGCACCCAGAGCAAGAAAATAATTTTGCTGTTTCTGGCTTGGATCTGTAGGTTTTCTTGCAGCACATACCTCAAGCACTGCAACAGATTGTAGGTGTGTGTCCAGATTGCATTAACAATCCCCTTTTATAACTGCAAGCAAAGTTTATTCTGAAGTTATAAAGGTCACCCTAGTAATAGCATGACTGGTTGACATGACATATAACCATGACCTATTTTATAGTTCTCTTCAAAGATTTTTAATATTCATCAGAGAAAGTCTGGGAAGTGGGTACTTTATTTACTCAGTGAAAGCTTTTAAAATAGCTATATTAAAATTTTTATATATGCCTATGATTTTAATTTATCACCCTTTCTTGTTGTTTCTCAAATATATTGTGCTCTGGATGCTGTTGACAGAGTAACAATATTTAATTATACCACAAGGCTTTATTTATGGGCAAACCATTTCAGAGGAAAAAATATGATTTTTTTTTTTCCCCCAAGACTAGCTCTGAAACTAAATTTGACCTGGCTGTGCAAAGAAACCTTCTTTATTTAGCATGCTTGGGCAAGCAGTGCTCTGTCTCCTGAGAGATTAACACTGTAAGCAAGTTATGCAGGTGACTCAAATCCAGTTAATCTCACATAAAGAATGTTAATTGCATTGGCAATGGCATTCACTCTGATCACTTTATAGCTGTGTAATTAGCTATTGGACATATTCAAGGGGCTTTCTGAGTGATACAAATACAGGAAACAACATAAGAGATAACTTGTTCTTTCCTGATTCACGCTGTGCAAAATGCAGAGATGATGCAAAAATGGAAACAGCAGTTGTTGGTATTTGCATGTCCCTGTTAACTGGGCTCTGTCCTTACATACCTATTAATTTTCTAGCAACTTCTTAAATGTTTTTGGAAATATTCAGTTTTAGAAGCTGATATGAAACAAACGTGTGTGTATTCTCCTAAATTGCCTTGATGTGGAATCCAGTGATTTATCTAATGACCTCAGGGCCATTTACTTTCTCCTCAGCTGGGTTCTCCTCAAAATGAGACAGGAATTTATTTTCTCATCTCCTGTACAGGAGAATTTACAGCCACAAGTAGCAATTTCATAAGTATGCACATTCAAATTTCTAAGCTGTTTACATGCAGCTTTTGTAAACGTGGTCTAAAATGATTTTTGTATGCAGACCAAGCCAGTGTACAGACAAACACAGAGTTGTTTAAATTCAATGGGAATGAACCAGGGCCTCTAAATCACCAATTAGAAAGCTGATATAGATCTGAATTTCTTAGTTTAGGATCATGTCTTGAAAAACAAATGCCAAAATGAACAGTATTGTGTATGAGCTGAGAGCAGGAGTTGTTCTAAGCTTTTCTTAGAAGAGAAGTTGTGAAAACCATGCTGTTGCAAATTTGCAGAAAGTGTCATTAAAATATTCTCATCCAGATTCACATAGTTACAGATAGGCCAAGTACATTGCTTAGCATTGGGATTAAAAATTGGGGGTTTTTTGCTTTGTTCAGTTGTAATAAGTTTATCAAATTAAAATGCCTTTATCCAAAATTTTCCATGCCTAACTAGAAAACCAATTTTAGTTGACAAAATTAAACTGACAAAATAATTCACTCTTCTCTAAGAATGTTGAAGTTCTTGCAGTTTGGAGGCAAAGGGGATAACTGGAGCGAAATGGGCAGGAATGAGAGGAATGGAGGAAGCTTTTTGTCCTGAGAAGTGCAGGTGCCTCATACTGAATATCAGCTACCCAAAATACATTGGGAAATAGCTACACTGTGCCAGAGATGTACTCTTTTTTTGGCTTTTTCCAGAGGATTTTCAGTAAATTTAGCCAAATATGCACCTGCCTAAAAAAAAAAAAGTAATAGAACAATCAATTCACACACCAGAGAACCCATGAATGCAGATTGGGCAACATTTTCCTGTATCTACACTGTGTTCCTGCTGCTATCACTCTCCTGGGAGGGGCCTTGGGTACTTCAGCTGATTTTTCTTGTGTTAAGTTTGTGGATGGGCTGTATTTGGGTGACCTGTGGAAAAGGAGCTCCAGTTCAAGTGCAGACCAAATACTCAGTGGAGAGGAGTCCATTTGCTGTGAGGTACAAAAAGGGAGAGGCATGGATAGTTGGAAGGGGAGCTGGACTTGAGAACTTGCTGGGTTCCAGGTGTGGAAAGTGATATCTCTGGGCTAAAAAAAAAAAAAAAAAGAAAGATAAAATGACTAAGGAAACTGTCAGCAGCTGGATAGGGCTTGTATGCAGACTTGAAATAGGAAATTACAAAGAGCTGGGTATGGCTTGTACACTGACTTAAAATGGGAAATTATGAATATTTCAATATAAGCAGAGAGGCTAGAAATGAATTTACTTGCCCAAACATTGCTGGAATCTGAAGATCCTGGGCAGGAATAGGACAAAAGCAATGCTTGGGGAGAAGAATCTTTGCCCGTTAACCATGCTTTTATCTCTGTCATCTGGAAAGGTGCTATAGATTCTTGTGCATGTCTATTCTTCTGCTGACAAAATATGTTTTCCCCTGCCAATAGGTTTCCCTGATAATAAGGAATTCCTGTGTGATGCTGTCACTCATTTACATAATTACTAACAGGTGGTTTTGTGTTCCTCATTTTCTGACTGATATTCTGATTTGTAAAAGTGATGAACATTTTTCGTCAGCAGTTGAATTAAAGGAAGCTCAGCTTTGAACACACAAAATTAAAAACTTCATTTCCATCCAACCCCTCCCCCTCTCCTCAATAAAAAAAAAAATTGTCAGTTTTGTGGCTCAGGTTGAACACCAAAATTGAGTAGATACTTTTTACCTTGCTTTCTAAGATCTCTATCGTACCCCAGAGAGGAGCTATGAAAACAAGTGAGGTTATTATAAAGCATTAAGATAGGTGTAATAGGGGTCATGAGGAAATTAATAATTCTCTCTTTGAAGTGCATTTTGAATAGTAAGACAGGAGGCCACCCTCTAAACAGTACCACTAAAGCAAAATATTAAACACCTGCTCGTTAAGTGAATACCAACAATCTGGAGATGTTTGGGGAAAAAATCGTGTATGATCATATAATTGCAACCAGTCCCATAAGTCATCATAAACAGAAAGGAAGTGATCAAAAGGCATGCAGACAGCCTTAATTCTCTCAGTAAATGTGGACTGCTTGATTTTTCAACCTTGATAATGTTCTTTTAACTTTTTAAAAAAATTATTTGCATATAATAATCATGCATAACAAACCTGTAAAATTAGCTCTGTAGTTATCAAGACAAATTGCCTGAGTCAGAATCTGGTATTGCTTGCATCTGTGTGAATTTTTTAAGTGACATCATATCCCTTAACTTGCTGAGAGTGAAATATGAAACATAGTGTGTAACCAGTTTTATATGTCCTTATGATAAATCCCTGTCTTGAGTGGAAATACTCTTCCATATAAACTCAGCCTTATAATGGTTTGACTAGCATAAATAATTTATGACAATAAAAGTGTGGTATGGCTGAGAGGACAGAACAAATTTGTGCCTTCCAAAGGCAACTTGGAAACTAACCCCAGTGACATCCTTTCAAATGAAATTACCGGTACTTGGACTTTGTAGCAGTATAACTGAGAGCAGATTGTGGCTCTGCATCTGGATTTTAAGCAGGCCTGTACAACATTATGGTGATTAATACTATTTGTAGCCGTGCAGCCTAACATAACAAGGGTAAACAGAAGTTATTATTCAGACCTTAATTTGCTTTTCCATGGTGAAGTTGGCAATGGGGATCAGGGAATCTCTGTCCTGTCCACAATTGCCTGAGGTGCGGAGTTTAAATTTCCTCACAAGTATCAAGATATTGATCTCTGCCAGAGGCTGGCTGGCTCCTGCTGGGAGCTCCTGCTCCAGCTCATGCATTGCTGCAGCAGGAGCTCCCAGCTCAGGCTGTGTCTGTGCAGGGCTGCAGAGCCACAGGGATGGGCACAGCCTTAGAGGGCTCTCCGCTGTCCGGCAGGTGGCTGGTTGGTCCTTCTGGTCCTCCTTCCCATCCTCTTCTTGCTGGAGGGCAGAATGGGACAGCCCCTGCCTCTCCAGCCTGGCAACCCTCTGGCTGGCTCTTTATGCACATCATCAGTTCCACTTGTCTGAATTTGTGGAGCTCAGCCTCCTTTCTGTTTGATGGGTGGGTAAGCAGCGAGATGCTGAAAAGTCAGAAAGTGTTCATTTCAGCCCTCTGACTCACTGTGGAATTTTAATGTCTCTTTCAAGAGCGGCCCACGTTTCTCAGGCGACCGATTAACCAAGTGGTGCTGGAGGAGGAGGCCGTGGATTTCCGGTGCCAGGTGCAGGGGGATCCCACTCCCACAGTCCGGTGGAAGAAAGATGATGCAGACTTACCAAGAGGAAGGTGAGAGCCACATGCATGTTCACTCCCAGATTTCAGTTGTTGCACAATGCTGGAATCCATCCCTGCCACTAAAATTTGGTTCATTGACATTGTGTCCAAGATTTATTTCCCACATTGCTGCTCTTTTGGTACTACAAATCTTGCTCCAGAGGCAGCTGTGCAAGGAATCCAACCTGGGTGAATTGTCCAGGTAATGGATTCCTGTGCAGGGAAGAAAAGTGATCTGTAGGTGTTGTGAGCACATGGGTATTCAGTGAATTTATTGGAGACAGTAAAGATGTTTTAGGACTGTAATGGTGATAGTAGCCTTCAGAATGATGTGCTGATACCAAGAGGGGAAAAAAACTTGGCAGGAAAGTTGCTCTGTTGCACTGGCAAGGTGAATTACAAGCAGAGCATGGTGGGCTTTGCTGGCTCCTCAGTTCACGTCTGTTAAGTCTTGGAGAGAAACCTTCCTCTTGAGGAAACAAAAAGCCAGACTAGCAGAAGTGTAAAGCAGAGTTGAAATCTGGAACAGGCCCCCTGTGTTCAAGAAAGATTAATTTAGTCTGGAACAAACAAGGAGAAAATTTTAGTGAGCAGGGGAAGGGAGTCTCTCCTGCAAAAGGGTTTTAAATTAGTTTGGCTCCTTTCAACTAAAAGAGCAGGGTTTGGTCCTAATTTTCTGGAACTCTTTCTTGTTTTGATGCTGAAACATTATTTCATTAAAAAATCCTCAACATGGAACTGGCTCTGGGAACAGGAATTAGAACCCAGGTCTCCACAACCCAACAAGTCTTTCTGGCACTATGAATCCTGATTTATTTTTGCACAGTTTTAATTTTAATGCAGTAGGCATGAATAGTGCCTCTTTTTTTCCCCCCCCACCATAACTGACATTTTCCATCAGTTGAATATACCAATGAAAAAATACATAATCTATAGAAAAAACATTTCTATGTAGTTTTGATATGAATGCTTATGTGTATATATATATGTACTTTTTAAAAGTTCATTTTCTGGTAATTAGAAAAAATTTTAAAAGTCACATAGGTGTTTTGCTTATTATAGTGACAGATGTGTATGAGTGTAATAGGCAAAATATTATTTTCAGGAGAAGCCTTTTTGAAGTCAGGATGAATTTTTCTCTTTGCTTGCTCTTTAACTATGTATTGTAGAGTAGTCCACAGTAAATACATTGTGTTTCTGTGATTTATTCTTGCTTTTGTGCTACTTCTGTTGTTTTAAATCATGTCTGCTTCTAGGTCTCATAAGCAGAAGTAATAGATGATGAGCCTACAGTGACTTTGGTTAGATTGCATTTCTGTTAGATATTTTTTTAGTGACTGTATCCCTTCTTTTTCTCCAACATCTGCAAATGCCTCTAATAATTAGCACTGTATGCTTTCTATTCTATGATTTTTTATTTATATAGCACGATATGTGAGCATATCTTCACTGTCCAAAAAGTGGACATTTCCAAACCATGCTGCATGATGCTTAATCAAGGAAGATAAGCTTGGAGCCTCTAAAACAAAAGTTATTGTGTTTTTCTGAATTTTTTTAATACCAGCAAAGAAGTTTGCCCAAGTATAGTCTGAATGAATGGATGGATGAGAAAATTATGATATCAAAATTTGATAAATTAGGAAAGGAAGTCAAAATAATTCCTCACTGTTGAAATTGAGGGATTTTTTTTTTGAGGTTAAAGACAAACTGAGCTCCTCTATTTTAAGCATTTTAACATCTACAATGAAATATAAAGCCCTCAAGGTTTTCCCTTTGTTTTTCTTCCCACATGCATAAATACTTCTGAGCAGCTCTCTGAGCTATTTCTCTTATAACTTTCAATATAAATTTCCTGTTTCTATAGCTAACAATGTTCTTTGCACATCTGTCTGTTTTAATTTTTTTGAAAATTTCATTTTGACTTCATCCCTAGATTGCAAGACAATTACAGTAAGTACCTGTTTCAACAATTACAGCAGATTTTTAAATGTGTCTATTGTTGATTCAGCTTTCAAAGGTGTCTAGTTCAGTGACCACGAAGTGGAACAAACTGAATTTTTGTATGCATTTTGTTTCTGTAATTTGCTCTTGGTGAATGCCAGAATCAGTGACAGTGGATCCATAGTTTTTCTGAAATCCTAGCCTGTTTTTCCACCTTACCTTGTTTTAGTTTTTTTAGTGACCCATGAGAAAGCAAAGAGGAAAGTAATGCCAGTGATTTCTGGTGACAAATGTGAGCAGCATTGCTACACTGAGTGGTGTGTTGAGTAGTAATTGGAAAATAATTTCAGGCTGTTAAAGCCTTAATTATAAAGGTCCCAGATGGACTTTAAGCATCTCCAGTTGCAATTGGATTAAATGAAAAAAAAACCTCCAACTTCTAAAGAAATTAAGATGTTTGAAAACATGACTCTTTATAAAAAAATAATTTATCTATTTGTCAAATTGTCTGTATAATTGCTCAGGAGTATATAAATAACCATGCTTCAAATCTGAGAATAAACAGTTTATTCTGAGGGTGCAAAACTTCATTCCCAATTTCAGTGGTTTTGAACTGGTGATCTACATCAAGTATGATACTCTGTATCTTTGAGAAGCAGATTTTAAGATGCCTGAGAAACATTGGTCTCACTAGTGGTCAAAGGAAGTTACTCATCCAACATCCTGCAGACCTGACTTGAAATTTCAAACTATGATATATGTCATGGAGCTCCTCTGTGTGTGACTGGCAGGAATTTAAAAAATGATATATAATAGATGAAAATAGTAGTGTGAGCAATGTATGATAACTATTTTCATAGTTCTTTTGCACCACTGTGATAAAGAATTATTTCTATTCTTCAGTGCTTAAATTTCTAATTAGAGCCTAAATTGGCACCAGCAAATTAACATCTTGTTGATCTAAATGTTGATACTGCACCAACAGAGAGACTCAAAATCCAGTGTGAAGTCTGGGGTATGTAAAGCCTTTTTCCAGAAGCTGTCCACTTCAAATCAGTGACCCAAGACTGAAATGCATTGTGAATCAAATGTAGAGGCACATGGTGTATATTTTATTTTAATTGCTCTAAAAATTCAGCCTCACACCACAGCCTCCACAGTACACAAAGGGTGGGGAATAGTTAATCAAGCATGACTCATGTCAGACTACTGGAGGTGAACAGGATGTTGTGGGGTCACCAGTCCTATGCCTTTGGCTGCAATATGAGGTTCACTATTCTATGAGTAGAGTTTTTTCTCATTAGAAGTGACACAAGGAAATGGCACAAAGATTGTGTCAAAGTGACTCAGACAATTGTGGCCATGCATAATGATTAAGACCTACTGAAAATTCAATAAAATTTGTCTTTATGCCTTGAAATTTTTTTCCACATACATCTTCAGGTATCTTTCCCTTTGATATCTGCCCAGCAGAAATAGAGATTATACTTTCCTTCCAAGGAGCTGATGATCTCCTGTGTGGTAGAGAACTCAATCTGGCCTGGATCAACTTTTCATTCATCTACATTTTAGTCCTGGTAACAGGAAGAAAATGACATTATTTGAGAGCCTACAGTATAAGAGTGGCAGATCTATGACTAGCAATTTAATAACATTTGAATAAGGTTTGTACAGTGTTTCATGTCTTCAGATTTTCTAGCAAAGCCGAGGAGAGCAGCTGCATGGTCTGTAATTATATAGCAAGTAATAAGTACTTCTTTTTTTTTTTTTTAGGAAGTGAAGAGATTTTCAATTACAAGTCAAAATTTATGACACACTATAATAACTGTTTAAACCTTTTATACAGAAGAAGTTAGCGGTGCCAGCTCTTTGGGAGAGTGAGGTTAGCTCAGCAAATGTATTTTTCAGTTGCCTTAAAAATGACTGAGTTGCAATCACATAGGCCTTTTTTTGCATTCCAGCTCAGAACAGCTGTTTTAGCTCAGTAAATACATCTTTAATGAAATTACAACCTGCTCTTTTAAGTTGCATTTACAGGCATTGTCTGATTAGATGGATATTGTACTAGAGATGAAAAGTGGCAACTGCACCAAAAGGGAGAGGTATTTGTTTTGTGTGCCACCCACACAATGGGAGTGTGGGCAGAAAAACCAAGAGTGATGCTTCAGAAGGAAAGTGGTGTGTAGTTTACACAAGGTGCATGGCTAAGTGTCAAGAGATTGTAGGTTATAAAATGAAACAGAGCTGTAACACTCAGCAGTGAAAATCATAAACAGCACAGTAAGATTTCTTATTTGCTGGAGATAAGGAATGTTCATTGAAAATTATTTGGCAATAAGCATTCTTAAAGCACAGAGTTAATATATTGTAAGATACGTGTTAGCTGCAACAGCACAAGCCTGTGTAGGTGTTAGTTTTGCTATGTTTTTAAAACTGGCCTCTTTTTTTTTAATGCATAGTCTGGGCAGAAATGCTGTCTGTCACACTTCTGATAGAGCTGAATGAAAAAGCACACCTATCATTTCTCTGCTTTCCTCCATGGCTTCTCATGAGCCCAAAACTAGGAGTAAGACATGGCATTTAAAAAATATCTCACGGTCTTCCAGATGCAAATCTTTGAAATGGATTTAAACACAACTGACAGCAAACCTAATGAACTAAGAAAAGCTGGATTTTTTAAGAGGAGATCCAAAAAGAGCCTGATAGCCTGAGAAGTTTTGCATTTTTATTTCTCCATTGTGATGGCTTGACCCTGGCTGGATGTCAAGTGTCCCCCAAAGCCTTTCTGTTATTCCCTTCCCAGCTGGACATGGGGGGTAGAAAATATAATGAAAGGCTCATGGGTCAAGATATGAATGAGGAGATCACTCATCAGTTAGTGTCATGGGCAAAACAGACTCAGCCTGGAGAAAAACTAGTTCTATTTATTATCAATCTAAGCAGAAAAGGACAATGAGCAATAGAACCAAATCTTAAAAACACCCTCCCCCCACATTTTTCCTTGACAGGGAAAGGGGCTTGTGGTCAGTTCATCACACCTTGTCTTTGCCACTGCTTTCTCCTCAGGGAAA